TTTTAAGCAGGAAACACAGTTGTTTTATATATACATATTCTTTTTACTAGAATATATAAAGGGGATAAATGCAAATCATGGAAACGGATGACATCATAGAGAACAGACTCATTTTCATGCAATTCAAATCTGGCCTGTATGTGCTTTCTGAGAACCCAGATTATAAATGAACTGCCTAAACCTAGGCTGCTGTGGATGAGGAAGACATCAGAGCCTCTAGCCTGAGGACTTGCTCAGCTCCTGCCGGACTTCGGCCTCCACCTTTGTTCTCTCTGGAGGTAGCTATCCTGCTGGATTCAAGCAAACTTTATGGTCCCCTGGGATAAGAAAGGTGCTCCTCAATCAGGCCCAAAGTTCAGCTTCTGACTCTAACCCTTCTTGTTTCTGTCTTCCACACAATTTCCTTTTGCCTTTTTGTCGATCTGAGACCAGCAGATTTTCCAATCATGAAAAATATTGCATTAGGTATACGTGAACGCTTGATTTCCCCTTCCGGGAAAGTAAACTCTGCATTCCTACCATTCAGAACATCTCATTCCAGTCTTCCTGATCTATGGTACCAATGAGTACCCCATTTCTCCAATCGTGTGTCCCATTTTGTTTAACACAACCCCTGTAGCTATGCTTTTGTCTGGTATCTTGCTCCATCCTCAGAAATAAACAAAAAGCCCACAAACACAGTTAACAATTTGAGAGACTCTCTTGTATCTGCTCCTCCATCAGAGAAGCAAAGGGCTGTTTCCTTACGATCCTGACCCCAGCCCTCTGCCTCTTCACCTGGACTTGCCCTGATTTCTGTTCTTCACGGAGAGATCCCTCTCCTGAAAATTCATTTGCAGAGCAGAGTTAATTGGCACACAGCAAATCCAATGAACGTTCAAGCCAGCCCTGCCTCGGTTACCCACTCCCTTCTTTGCCCCAAACAGTCTATGGGCCCCCTCCACGAAGAGTGATCTTGCATAATCCTAGTCATTACAGTTTTACAACATCAAAATGCCTTAACTATATAGTAACAATAACATAAACAATAAGAGAGAGAGTTGGTCACTCACACATGCTCTTACAGGAAAACAGGCAGCTCTCTCCCTGGTAAGAAAAATATGGGTCTCCACCCCACCACACAAAAATCCCAGTATGCCCCAGAATGCAGTTTCTTTGCTTCATGACGTGTTAGAAAGCACGTCAGCTGCTCCTTGTTGCTGTGCAGATCACCCAGCGTCGGGTCACTGAGAGAGACAGCAGCGCTGGCTCCCACAGCTGATAGGATTAGGCGATGGTGCTTTGTCAGCCCTGATTGAGCCCAAGAAAGCCCCAGCTTTCGCAGGTGAGATGAGCGGAAGGGTGGGCGTGGGGATGGGGCTGTGCTCTGGCTGGAGGGGTACGTTTATTCCCCTCCCCCCGGCTGGTGCATTTGTATTGTCTTTTCTGTGAAGTTTGCAGTCTGATTTTGTGTAGGGGTGGGGCTGGGAGGGTTCTACCCAGAAAAAAACAATCTTTATCACTTCACTGGTTCCAGACATTGGCCACAGAGAACTCATAGGATTTTTGTGAGGTTCACATGAGAGCTTCGACGTTAAAGGGCTCCGAAAAATATATAAAGTTTTGTGCATGTGAGAGGTGTGGCTTGTTTACTTACAAATTTCAGAGAAACAAAGAATCAGACTAGATTGGGGGCATACCAGTAAAGGCATTTCTCCCCTCCAATGTAAATGTCCCCATCTCCCTTATTTCTTGCCAGGCCTGGGCAGTTATATTATTTATAACCCTTAAGGATTGAGTCCTTTCTAGGCACTTGATATTTTCTAATAGTCAGCAATAGATTCACTTTGAAAGGAAAAGCCACAATTATAAAGCAAGGAACTAAGTATTTCGATAGAAAATGAATGTGATGCATAAGAATATTTCAAAGCAGGTGAAGGATGACTCTACTCTGCCGTATTTGATTCTATCTCTTTGATAGTAGAATCCCAGCCCTGTGAGACACGTCTCCTAATGACATGAGAAACACTTGAATGAAATTAAAGGCAGTGCAGATATTATCGTTTGTAAAACTCGCCTTTTAGAACAGTGGAAAAACAGGCTTAGGTTCCAAAAGTACAGCACTAGGAGGCGTCTGGACACTAAATTGCCAGCCTTTCCCTGGGCACGGTTGCTATGGTGACAACGGGGCTACCACGAGCAGTCTCAATGCCTGCACTTCTGCAGTAAAAGCTTTCACTGAACACATGTTGGATTTTTAGGCACACACCCTGTCAGTAAATACAAAGACCTACTGGAGGCAGCTTTCTCTGATTCGCTGCCAAGCAAACCCTGCATCTGTGTTATTTATCTTCTACAGGTGGGTTCCTCCTGGGTTCACAGAATTCACTCCCTCTTGCATGCCTACATTTGGCAGTTTATCCACTGAGTGCCTACTATGTGACAGAAAGTGTACCAGGCCCTGCCTACAAACCCTGAGGGCTTCAAACAGGGACTGGGGAGGTAGGGGCGGGGCAGAGTTTTGATGCAAAAATTCTAACAGCTCTTCAGGAAGCAAATAGTAGTGGAAGGTTTCAGGGAGAGTTCCTAGAAACACCTGTCTAAAAATAACAGTTAATGTATCTTCAGGAGTTGAGGAAGGTGTGCGGATCAGGTGCAAGAAACGAGAAAGAGAGAGAGAGAGAGAGAGAGGGAGAGAGAAGCTCATGTCAGAATCTGGAAGGAAAGAGCAGGAAACCTCCAGAGAATTTCATCCTCAAGCTGTTTCCATTTGTACGTGGAGGGAAAGTGGCAGAGTCTATGTAGCTATGAGGGGATGTGTTAAAGAGGGAAGGGAGCGCATGGATAGAGGAGCAGGACTGGAAGGAAAGGGATAAGAAGCTACATAAGGTGGCCAGCCTAGGAAGGGCCTTGGGCCACATTGCCAAGCTTGGGCACTACCAGGCATAACAACCAGGACATCCTCAGTGAGCTTTCATGGAGAAGCTTCACTTGATCTAAGCCTTTCAGAAAGGCCTTGGGGTGCAGGGAAACGAGCTGGCGAGAAAGAAAGGAGGTAAGAGTGGGAGTTGGACCACTGTTGCAATAATCCAGTGTGAGTATGGGATTAGATGGATAGATTCAGAGAAAGACAATAAACCATAGGCAGACATAACCAGAGCCAAGACCTGTATTACATGGCACCTGGGGGCTCACTCCGCATGCAGGTCAGGTGTGGGAGAAGGCTGAGATGCTTCAGAGGTTCTGACTTGGACAATGCGGGGGAGGGGGTGTCTGCTCTTATATCCCAACATTGAAGTCATAGCTCTCTAGGGAGCTCAGAAACAAGATGTTGACCTTACTACTTTGTTCCAAGCTTACCGTGCTTGACCCCAGGCTCGTGATTTTAGAAATAACAGATTGAACAAATCATTCTGGACTGTCCCATTCCGGAGGCTCACATCTAAGACTGTTGTAAGTCTAAAAAGTTGCGATTAATCACGTCTTCTCCCTGGACAAAGAATCCTAGAATTAACTGCTTCATGCTTTCAGAGACCTACGGAGCTGAATGCGATGAGGGTTCCTGGGGTTAAATCTCGGGGGGGGGGGCTGATATCAAGTCGGTCCCATTAGTTCTGACTTCAGGTTCTTTATAATCTGTAGCTTGAGAGTTGAGGACTCAGAACCACACTTAGTCTGGCATGTGGAAGTTCAAATACGATTTTCAAGGCTCATGGTAAGCCATGTAGGACAATGGGGCACTGGGATCTGATTGGTGACAACTCACGTGGCTTTTTAGAATATCCTCCAATTCCGAATAAAAGCCAGTGTAAGTCATTGTACACACTCAGTCGCAACCCTAGCCCATGCAAATGTGTCTGCATCACAAATGCTTCCTCTGCCTGTTATATAAAAGGCAGCGGCCAAAACTGAAAGGAACCTGGACCTGCCTTAACTGCCTTTTGGAAAGTTGCATTCAACGACCTGGTCCAGCTGTCCTGTTTCCCAGGGCTAAACCAGCTACCCTTGAGGTAGGTTTGCTATTATGCTCCGATTTACAAGGGTAAACTCCCAAAGTCAGAGGACTTCGGGCACACAGGCGCTCAGCTTGGAGGGAGTGGAGTGCGGGCTTGAATCGGGTTTTGGGAATCAGGCACGGAACTACCCCTACAAAAGTGCGTGGGGCTCGCGCTAGGCAGAGGCGGGTTCCCTCCAAGCCCGGCTTCCCCATCTCCTGCTGCAGCGCCGCGCAGCCAATCCAAGGCCCATCGGATGCGCTGCCCGGGGGAGAGGCGCAGCCAGGAGATTCCGGAGCCAAGATGCCGAGTCAGTCCTGCGGTGTGGGTTTGGCTTGGGTTAGGAGGTGGGGACGATGGCGGCGAGGCCGTAGGGCCAGGCTGTGCGTAGATGTAGAGTCAGGAGACCCAGGAGGGGCCGCGAGAGGAAAACTTTGGCCTCTTTCTCCATTTGACCCCTTGCGGTCGCGACTCCCCCTCAGCCTTCCCCAACGCCCTCCTGCAAACCCGAGCGCAGGTGTGCGGCACCTCTGAGCTGGCGATGCCGCTAGCCTGCGTCCGTGCCATCGGGTCCGGTGGGCGGAGAGCGAGAGGAGCGTGGCCGTGGCCACATCGGGCAGGTGGGAGCCCCTAGGTGAGGAGGAGCCGTGTCCCGGGGGGCGCCGGCAGGTGAGGGCGGAGGTGGGGCGGCGCCGGGCGGCGTCCACGGGCGCTCGCGGTGGCTGCACCGCACCACGTGTCCGGCCGGGGCGGGGCGGCCGGGCGCGCCCTCGGAGCCGAGCGCGGGCCGCGGCAGTGGCGGCGGCGCGTCGGGGCCGCAGCAGGAGCAGCCGCCGCCCGCAGCCCGCGGCCCGCAGCCCGCAGCCCGGAGCCCGCAGCCCGGAGCCCGCACGCCGCACCCCGCAGCCCGGAGCCCGCACCCCGCACCCCGCAGCCCGCGCCCCGCGCCCGCTCAGCGCAGTCTCCTCGCTCCCGCACGCGCAGGTACCTCCTCCCGGACGGCGGCAGCGGCGGCGCGAGGAGCCGGCAGGCGGAGGCGCGATGGGACCCCTCCGGGAGACCAAGGTAAGCCGGGCGTGTGGGGACGGTGCTCGCGGGCGACAGTGGGGCGGGAGTCGGGGTGGGCACTGCGGGGTCAGACGCGGGCCAGGTGAGAGCTGGAGGGGTGGCTTTAGGGGCACGGCGCGGTGGTGCACGGCAGGGGGGACGGCAGAGGGGCGCTGGCTCAGGGGTGAAGCGGGGACGTGGTTCCAGAGGAGCTGGGGGCGGGGGCGGGAACTGAGGGGTGTTGGTTCAGAGAACTGAAAAAATTGACTTTAGAGGGTTAATCTCTGCTGAATGTGGCCATTTGGGGTGTAGCTTTCACTTGACGTCTTGTGTGTGTGTGTGTGTGTGTGTGTGTGTGTGTGTGTGAGAGAGAGAGAGAGAGAGAGAGAGAGAGAGGTGAATAGAAGGAATTTGACGTGCTCTGTGACTGAGCTGTGGGACGCGCACGGGGTCAGCCGTGTTCTGCGGGCGCGGGATACTTGGGGGGTGAGTCGGGGCCGGACGGCTGGGCGCGGCTCGCGGCCCCGAGGGCGCGGTTGCCCTGTCACCTCCGAAGTTCCGACGGCTGGGCTTCCCCTGTGCTGGCCTAGGAGAGGTGTTTTCTTTGGCCCTGACCCTGCCGGGTAAGCCGTGGAAGACAGCAGGAGGTCAAGTTGCAAAATGGTGTTTGTTACCTAAGCCGGAGCTTTTTTTTTTTTTTTAATCGCAGAGGTTGAAGAAAGTAGTGGGATTTTTGCAAAAAGAATAAAAAGCTCCACCTAGGAATCCATTTTAATAAGTAAGGGTGACAGGGAGCTGAGCAGCACCAGACTTGTAGCGCGCTCTGCTTCTCGGTGTTGGACAGGTTCAGCTAAGCCTCGTTGCCTTGTTTTACTTCCGTTTCCTCACCTGGGACTAAGGACATGCGTTGGTGTCCTCTATATAGCCTGAATATGAAGGTCAGATGAGATTCTGGTTGGAAAAGCACTGGGCGAGGTGGAAGGCATTGTAAGATATTGCTTGGGTGGGTTTTCTTGAAGCAAGGCGTGGCAAAGCAGCTGATGTGTTTTTAAGGAGAGACAGATAAACCTGGTCTTGTCCTTGTTCTGTAAGGAAAAAACTGCAGCTGGACATGTAAAAACGGTGGAGCCATCTTCCTGGGTATTGTGTTTGTGTTGGTTTTCTGTTGGCAGCAAGCCCTGGGTATCAGGATATAAATGAATAATTAAGATGCTGTCTGGAAGAGGATTTCAAAGGTGTGTGTGCACGTGCACACATCTGTGCACACATGCGCGTGCATGTCATTAGGAAAGACTTGTTCCAGGTGTAGGGCTCTACTCTGGGAAAAGGCAGGAAAGCAGAAGTCAGATTACCACATTTCATTCAGGGAGAGACAAATGGAAGTATAAAGGAGATCAAGTAATAAACCAGAGTGTGCTGTGAGTAATTGGAAACCCTGGCATGAGGCGTGGATGTGACAGGGAGGTGGTGAGGAATTCTCAGGGTGAGGGGGCGTCCTTCCTGTAAGTGGGTGTGCACAAGGCGGCCTGAGGGATCAGCTCAGCGGACAAGCGTTCAGAGCTCATAACATCCAGTTCTGTGTCAGAAAAAGAAAATGTGATCTCTCAGAAACTGTCTTGAAAGAGCAGACGGAGTTTCCTTTTGTTTTCTCTTTGATGTCCAATGTGGAGAAGGAGCAAAGAGTGCAGCATCCTGAGAAGGAGATTTCCAGAAGTCGAATTCCTCGGCTGATCCTGCGACCTCATCTGCCCCTGCAACCGCACAAAGTGTCCCCAGCCTCGGAGTCTCCCTTCTCGGAGGAAGAGAGCAGAGAGTTCAACCCTAGCAACTCTGGGCGCTCCGCGAGGACTGTGAGCAGCAACAGCTTCTGCTCAGGTATACCCAGGGGAAGCCCGCCCCGCCCCGCCTCCGCCAGGGCGTGGCCTGCAGGTGCTGCAGGAGCTTTGGGGATGGGCCCCAGCCGGCGCCTTGCAGCCTACAACTACTGCCTTAGGATGAATTAAAAAAAAAAAAAAAAATAGTTACATGTTTTTAACTCTTATATTATTTGCAGTTTATAATTTACAATGTTAAGATCTGACTTCTTTCTCTGAATGTTTAAAAGTTGTGTTTCCTTGGTGAAATCAGGAAAAAAGGCTAAATCCTGTTTTGCAGTAGCAGTCTCTATGAACCTGTGTGTGTCTGATTACAGAAGCCCCACGTTGAAGCAAGTCCTAAAACAGGAGGCCAAGGTGAAGGAGCGGCAAACTCCGACACTGGTCTGGCTTTGTAGTTTAGTGGGAAAGGACACAAGCTTTGTAATGTACCAGACCTGGGTACAGGAAGGGCTGGCACTCCCAGCTTTTCATCACTTACATCTGGGTGACCTTGAGCAAATTGCTTAACCTCCTTAAGCCTCAGTTGTTACATCCGTAAAATGAGATGATCGCTTGAATATGTCTTATCAGAAGTGCTTGGAACCAGAATATTTTGGATTAAAAATAATACATATTTATGATTACATAATGAAGTATTTCAGGGATGGGAACCAAGCCTAAACATGAAACTCATCAATGTGTTACATTCACCCTGGCCTTAATTTTATGCAGTACTTTTAGAACTTACTCTGTTTTTCACACCTTAGTATACAACCTGGGATGAGGTATGAGAATTTCCACTCGCTATTTCATGATAAGACTCAAAAGCCTTTTGATTTGGGAGTATTTTAGCTTTTCACCTGGAGGCTGCTCAGCCTGTACCTTCTTGTCCAGTTGCTGTGAGTTGGAATGAGGTTGTGTGAAGTTGGGAAGTGCAGTGCCTGGCTTATGCACATCCTCCGTCAATGATGGTTCTTGACAGGATAAGCTGTGAGTGTCCGTTATGTTTGTTATGAGGTAGGTCTGAGAACTCTTGAAAGTGCTGCCCTTCCCACTTGGCAAGATCATCTACACCAGTGGAAGTACCAGGCTTAAAGGACTTTGTCATAGCTGGGGAGTATGAGGAATTTGGATAAAACGTAATGGAGTGACTGTCTTCTGATTAGTGAAGAATGTTCTATACAGTAAAATCTGTTTAAGGGACATGTGATTTGAAGATTAACACATAGATAAAAAGGAATGTGTGATCAAGATGCTATGCTAAATGCCCTTATTTTAACAGGATGCAACATCCATTTTATTTAGTGCAGGAAAATATCTTTTTCAAGGATTTTGTATATTCAGCATTGCATGTTAGCTTTTGTTAACAAATAATTATATCCCATGTTTAGGTTATGTTTTGAGTTTTATTTCAGAAATATTTTCTGACCTACTCTTTGGTTTTTCTCTTTGAAACCTGAAATTCTCTGCTTGGTTATGAAACATTACATTTTAAGGCCTACTTCTTTTCCCTTTGAACAACAGAAATCCAGTCTAGAATGGAAAATCTCTTGTGGTTTGGTTAATACTGTCTGAGAATAAAATGCCAGGACAACAGAGCAGCCCAGACTCTGGGAACGTGGGGTCCAGGTTGCAGAACGTGGCGCTGTTCACGTCAGTCAGCACCCAGAGTTCAGGGCTCACTCCAGGGATGCAGGTAGATTGTTTGGCCAGCTGTGTTCATAGCTCAGTTCCGTATTTACTCCCGGCAGTCGACTACTCTCTGACTCCAGGGTTAGTCATGTTATCAGAACAAAAGAAGAAAGAAGTTGATTGAAACAATACGAAAGAAAAAAAAACAAAAATCTAGGGTCAGCGCTCTGGTGTAGCTGGTAAAGCCACCTGCATGGATGACATCTTATATGGGTGCTAGCTTCCAGTCCTGGCTGCTTTATTTCCTATCCAGCTCCATGCTGATGTCCTTTTGAGAGCGGTAGAAGATGGCTCAAGCACTTGGGCTACTGGCACACTTGTGGGGAACCTGGAAGAAGCTTCTGGCTTCAGACCAGCCCGTCTCTGGTCATTGCTGCCATTTGGGGAGTGAATCATCAGTTGGAAGATCTCTTTATTTATCTAAAACTTTTTCTTCCAGATAATAAAAAGGAATAAAGAAGGAAAGCAGGAAAGAAAGAAAAAGAAAATTCCAAGTCTACTTTAGAAGTGTATAGACAGATAAAATTATTAATTTTAATTGCAAATTTTTCTCATGCAGACCCATTTCTTGACACACACCCCTTTCCCAAGAGACCTGTCTCCCACTAATGTTATAGTGCTGTACGTGAAAAATCCAAAGTAGATATTAATCTTTCTGCCATTACCTAGCTAAGAATTGAGAGGCAGAAGCATATAATTATGTTGTATCTAAACCAATCTTTCCAGCCATGTTGCTGCCTAGAAATCCCTGCTTCCCTGGGCCTCTCCCTCATCTCCCTGTGCTGAGCATTCTCCAGGGTCTGGCCTGCACCTTCTGCTTCTTCGCTCTCCTTCCTGTGGAACCCAGACAGACCCTTCTTGAAGACTTTTGAGCATTGCGATGACTAAAACTGACAGTGGCTAGGCCTTGGGGGACATGATAATGATGTGTTGGGAGGTCAGTCAGTGGGTAGCAAATAAATGGGTTTGGAACTATAGCAGTGCGGATGCCGCAGGCAGTGAGGTCAAGAATCAAACGTGTCCCACCAGCAGAGGGAAACGGCCGGTGTTGCTCCATTCACTCTGGCACTGAGACCCTAAGATGTGCTTGTTGCTGAATTGTGGTGACTAAATTGGAGAACAAGGTGAACACAAACATGCAAAAGGCCGTCCTCAGCTAGAGTGAAACTAAAATAATTTAGCGTTGTCTGTTGCCACCCAAGACTCATGGCCCTGTCTGGGAGACCAGTCTGCAGTGGCTTCGCTTCAGTCTACGTCATCACGTTCACCCATGTGTAAGGAGGCAGTTGTAGTCATAATCTAGTGATGAAATCAGAGGAGTGTGTTACTCAAATATGGCGAAGTTTAATTTCAAGATTATATTTTCTTTTGCCAAATCTGTATCAAAGGCATTAATCATGAAGACTATCATATCTTCTAACAAGTTCATTTTTAAAAATAAGGAAAAGATAATGGGGTAGCATCAAGTTAAATTTACTTAATAGAAACAACTAACTATCTTTCGGTTTGAAAGTCTAGCATTCTTTTCGTTTGTATGGAAATGACACTTACTGAGAACTGATAGTTATACGTTGGCCAGATCAGCGATAAATCTGTGATGATGCTTCGTCTATCCCTGTCTCTAGATTTTTCTTGGGATTTTTCTGACTTGTGGAAGTAAAATCTTGGAACTCCTTCCAACATGATGTGCCTACTTTCACCCTCTTCCTCGTCTTTCAGCTGCTTCCCTTCTATTTCCCCATGGGAGTCTTGGCTAGGAACACTTAATGATTCCGTATTCCATATGCTAATTTGTATGTTGTGATTGTCTCATTCCTAAGGGAAGGAGTTGTGTGTGCCCTTTTACAATCCATTTGGGGAGTGTCTCCAAAGAGCTATTCTTTTAAATAGCTTCTTATTAACATAATTTTTGTTTTGAAAATATGTATGTTTTTGTGCGTTTCATCAGTACATGGACTTGGACATCATCTCAGTATTAGAATAATCTCTTCCTTACATCTTGTATTCAATCTTAATCATTGGGACAGCTAAATTGACATTGTATTGCAAAACAGCCCCTATTTCATGTGCATAAGTAAACATTGCACCTTCTTAGTGAATGTTAACTCATACTTTAAAAAAAAAAAGAATCTATGCAGAGTAGAGGATGAATAATAAAGAAGTATAAATAAAACAACAGCTCTTTTTTTGTCCTCTCTCTCTTTTTTAAGCCACCTCATTTGTTTACACCGTAGTTTTGGCATAGAGTCAGCCTTTATTCCACCTTCATCCCCCCACCATGTGTTTCTTGTTTTTGATATATCCATGAAAAGCAGTGAAACACCCATTTTCGATCTGTGACCTGATGTGGCCCACCAAATCTAGGCCCCTGTCCATTTTTCTCTCCTGTTTTTGTTGGGAATGCATTGTGTTTGCCCTGACTCCACTGTTAGAAAAACTGATGACCTGGGTGAATAGCTGCACATGCGTCAGTCAGCTGACATGGTTAGCAGCATGCTGTGTGTTCCCCCTTGCTTAGTTGAGGCAATAATTACCTCTTGGAACTGGGAGGCAGATGGGTTGCTGGGCTTCAAGCTACTTCTCCTCGGGGTGCCTTGTAAACATAGCAGGTGGAACAAATTATGCATATAGAACACTGGTTGTTTTATGAGAGACCCGTAATTTCTCTGAAATATTGCCATGTTTCGAATGTGCACACACAGATGAAGGCAAGTTTATGACTATGGCATGTTAAGAAACACTTCTCAGGTCAATAAGCAGAATGATCAGAACCGGAGACTCTGGAGAGGGTAGTGCTAAGTAAGCTGCTTACAGAAAGTGTTTTAGTTTTCACAGTGTTGCGGAAGAAATCTTTCATTGAAGGCCCATGACCTGGAGGTGATCATTGTTGTCGTTTGTGGCAGAAACAATTAATGCAAATTAGAACTGACTAGTTCCTTGCCAAGGCATGACAAAGCCTCCAGAAATTTGCTAGGTCTTGCCAAGCAGAAACATTTTTGCTATGCCTTTGTCCAGTTGAAAAAACTTGGCATCTGGGTGGATTGAACCTATGAACATACTGATTAGAACTGAGATGAACTGCATTGAATGAAGTGAGCTGAAATACCAAATTATACTATAATTGAATGACTGCCAACCTGTTGTAAATTAAAAATCAAAGGGATGAGAATTCAGTATCACTTAATGAGCATGAGACCTAGATTCTGCTGTATAATATACATTCCAAGTGTTGAGCTGTCTCATCCATGGAAATATGCATCTAATGAAACAGGCTATAGGCAAAGAGTATAGGGGCAGTATTTCTTGCAGAATGTGATCACTGCAATT